GGTGGTGAGGGGGTATGGGAAGTGCAGATGGACCCGGATGCCAGGCTCTGCCACCCCACTCAGAGCCTCCGTGCCCCCTCCAAGAGCCAGGCACCATGACAGCCTCCCTGTCTGGTCCAGCCCCCGACAGCTCCCCTCGGCCCCTGCCTGGAAGTACCAGCCACGGTGCTAAGCCCCCGGCCACCCCCCGCCCATGTCTCTCCTCCTGGAAGCCCCCTGATTTGGGCAGGCCTGGCCAGCTTCCCAGTGCCCGCACCCCCCAAATGGCATGCCCACGAGGGTCCCCAGCTGGGCACCACCTCACCATCTCCCTGGGGCTCCCTGGAAGCAGCAAAAATGGGCCACTGGCCCCTGAGGGACCCAACTCCAGGCCCGGCTCCACCCAGGCTCTATGGGAGGCTGAGGGGACCTGGGAACCTGGAAAGGTCTGAGGGGGCCCCCTTCTCAGGGCTGGGAGAGCATACGCGTAGGCCCATCAACTGTCTTTCCCATTGAGCTCTGTGCTCTGAGTGGTCTTGGGGCATCCAGGGACAGGCAGATGGGTCTGAACCCTGAGCCACAGGGAAAGGACGGGCAGTGGCCTCCTCCTCCACCTGAGCTCTGCACTGCACCAGTTGCCCATGGCCAGGCTCCAGAACGACTGCACCAGGTCTGCCCGTGGCCAGCCCCGTGGCTTTGAAGCCCACCACAGCCAGGGCCTTCTTAGCTCACCTGCTCAGGAGGCCAGGCGCCGGCACCGGGACTTGCCCGGGCAACACTCTACCCCGGCCTCTGTGCAGAGGGAACCTCACGGGCAGCAAGGGGGCAGCTCCTGCGTGGAGACCGCTGGAGACGAGTGGACAGGGCCTTGGGCAGAGTCCCAGTCACAGCTGGGGGTCAGGGGCCAGGGAGGGCACCGGCGCCTGGCTGGAGGGCTGGTCACGGTGGCAGGCTCCCAGGGGCGGCCAGTTGACTCTGCACCCAGCAAGCCCCTGCCGGGTCTGTGCCCACGTTCCCTCCGCTTCTGCAGTCACAGGTCAGTCAGCAAACCTTCCAGAGCCTCTGGTGTGATCCTGGGCCCTGGCAGGGATGGGCTCTGCCTGACACACAGAGAGTGGGTAAGGAAGGCTTTGTGGGGCTCAGAAGGCCCAGAGCCTCCGGGTTGGCTGAGGAGTCTCTCAGGGACAAGAGGAAGGACATGGCTGCGGCAGAGGACGAGGCCTTGCACAAGTGAGGAGGGGGCTCCACGGCACAGACCGGGGGTGTGGGTCGTGAGGGCCCCGGTGAGGACAAGGGCGAGATGCCCAGCGCCTGCGGGTGCCCCTGGGCCTGGGTGGCCGTGGCTCTCTGTGTGCGGGAGGGGCTGGGAGCAGATTCCAGACCCCACCCTCCGCCTGGCGGCTGCATCTCCATCCTCAGAACAGGGGCCAGCCGGACTCCATTCTGGAGGAAGAACAGCAGGCACATCACAGCCAGACCGCCCAGAACAGGCGACCAGGTAGTGAGCCACATCTGGAAAAATGCCTAACCTTGAGGAAATGTCCCAAGTTCTTTTTAAGTGGAGAAAGGCAGATGGGACCTTAAAAGTCACTTGGTGAAGGGGAACCTGAGGCTTAGCGGCCAGCTAAGGCCCCGGGGTGCACCTGACGGTCAGGGGCTGCATGGAAGCGGAGGTGGAGGCTCAGTGGAGGCCGCCCCGGAGGCCGGACGGTCTCAGGCCTCTGGGCTCAAGCTTTGGAAGCAGGTCGGATGTTTTTAGCATCAGCTTCAAAAGGTGCTTTGGATGGGCCACTCCACCCCAGCCATGCCAAGCCACGGTCCCTGCACCAAGTCCAACCTGCTGCCTTGCACCGTGAACAGACCGTAAGTGGGGAGGGTGTCCCCCAACACCTCCTGGGGGTCCCACCTACCCTACTGGATGACAGCAGCTGAGGACCAAGGCCTGACTGGACCTTGGCATCCTCGTGAAGTCTCTGAGCCTCAACTTCCCTCCTGAAAAATGGGGAGCATCACACTACCCGCTTTCCCAACGCCATAGGGTCATGGGCACAAGAGCCAAAACGAATTCCTGCAGGAAGGAAGGGGGTCAGGGGCTCAGAACTGGGATTCTCAGCCCCGGCTTAGACTCTGCTGCAGAACTTTTGACAGAGACCTTTCAAATACACCCAGCCAGTAACTGCTGACCCCCTTCCACTCAGACCACAACTCTCTGGGGCTGAAGCCAGCCCTGGAGCGTTTTAAGGTCACCTGGATCTCCGTGCTGGATAGCACCTGGGGCGGAGCAGGTGGCAGGAGCTCAGTTGCTGTCCCCGCCTGCTGACCAGCTGTGCTCGCTGCTCCACGCACTTAGGGGCATGCTGTACTCTCAAAAGCACCCAAAGAGGCAGCACAGGAAGGGCCTGGCTGGGTCAATGATAGCAGGGCCTCCTTCACCCACCTGACAATGGCACCCCCATATCTCTGGCAGCAAACGAGGGGAAACTGACCCAGTTCTGTCTCTTGGGGTGCCACGCCTAAGCCACTCTCCCCTCAGCACCTGAAGGGGGGCTCTGAAGAAAGGGCTGCAGGACATGCCTGCCTCTCCCCTCCGCAAACCAGGCTCTGCGGCCCCATCCCATCTGCTTCCAGGCTCCCCGGCCAGCTTGGAAACAGCCCCTTCATTCAGGGGACACCTGCCCCTGGGTGGACTGGGAACCTTATCCCAGCTCCCACCACAAGCTGGGACAGGAAGCCCAACGTGAGTTCCCTGGGAGGCCTGGCTGCACTGCACCCCAATTCAGTTACTTGGGGTCCTAGCCCCCATCCTCCCATTGGGTTTCTGGAGTGGCTGGGGTACCCTGCACACAACCTGCCTTCTCTTGTTTCTCTTTAGCCCCTGAAATGCCTGCTGCCCAGGGCTGACCCGCAGGAGATGGTCTCCAGGACCCAGGCCATCAGAGGCGCTCCTGCTGGGTCAGGACCCCAGCTTTCCCCCACTGCCCGCACCCGCACCCGCTGTCCTGATAAAAGAGGAGTGGAGAGCCCAGACAGCCTGTGAATGAAAAAGCTTCTCATCCACTTGCCAGGGGCCCACCCCCTTCCCAGGCTGGACGGGAGGCGAGGCCCGACCCCTCATTCCTGGCTTCTCCTCGGCCCCAGCTGTCCATGGGGTACTCCTGGCTGTGGGTGCTGTGGCCGTTGGGAGCTGGGAGGCCGAGGCCTGTGCACCCGGCCGAATCATCTGTAATGTGGGCTCATGAGTGTGCCTGGCTGCCAGGTAGCCTGATGGGTGGCCCTTGAGTGGGCCACTCTCTTCCCTGCTGGCAGAGGATGGAGGCCCATGGTGGAGGTGCTGTCGGCACAGCTGGGGAAGACTAGGTGAGGCTCCCCAGCCAGGGCTCCCCTCCTCTCCTCCCCAGGTGAAAACTGGCAGAGATGCCAATGGGATGCCAACAGAGGCACACAGGCAGTCACGCAGATCAGCGCCAGGCCTAAGGCCTTTGGGCCTCCCCATGCCCCCATCCCCCGCCACTCGGAGCATAGGATAGAGTGGTGGGCAGTCCGGAGTCTGAGTCTGGGAGCTGACAGCTCCGCGCTTCCTTCTATGGAAAATCTGCTCCTCCAGGCTGCCGGGCTGCTGTTACATAAACATCTCTGCTGCCTCCAGGCGCCTCCTCTCCTGGGGCGCCGACCCCAAGATGTTACCCCAGGCTTGGAGAAGTGAGGCCAGCTTCTGGGAGGACGCAGGCGAGGGAGGCTCCCAGCAGCAGCTAAGGGGCGGGACAGGCCGCCTGCACCGGCTGTTCCCAGCGTGCTCCACACTTGGCAAGAGGTGTGTCAGGAAAGTCTCGCGGGGGTCAGGTGTGAGATTTGCCCCCCTTCTGTGCCTCCCTCTGCCACCATCCTCTGGGGTTTTTGCAGTCCTTCGCCCAGACCCCCAGAGTCCTCGGTCCCTCTCAACTGTTCGGTGGCCCCCACGGCAGGCATTGCCCTCCTACTCCAGGAGGGCCCCGGGACGCGCGCCTTCCGCCATCGCACTCCCTATCCTTGCTGGGATGGGGAGGGGGCGTTGTGTGTCCCTGGCACGAGGCCGTGAACTTTGAGCAGGGACTATGGCAGGCATTTTGGACTCCTGGCGCTTAACCAGGCTTGGCACCGGGTGCCCATGTCTGCCATCGTGGTGGAGAAATAACTCAGCCGGAAGGAGCACGTGGGAGGGGCCCCGCCGGCGCCAGCGGCAGATCCGCCCGACCGCTTGTGCTTTCTGGGGCCACCTTAGGCAGGAGGAGGACGAGGAGCGTGTAGATTCGGGTCCCCCGGGGCAGCGGGCGCTATCCCATCCGTCTGCCAGGCACCGGCCCCGGGCTGTTCCCTCGGGACGCCCTGAGTCTCTGCCCAGAGGCCGCGGCGACCCCATCCCTCACGGTCAAGTGCTCGGGCAATCGCGGCCCGCGGCGTCCGGCGATCGATCCCTTAGACGCCCAAAGCCGCGGCAGTGGGGCTCCTGGAGGGAGTGAAGTCACCGGGCTGGGGGCGCCCCCACGGCTGGGCGACCCCCCCAGAGCCCCCTGCCCGGACTCGGGGTCCCCCGACGTGGCCTCAGCTGCTCCCCGCCCGGCCCAGCGCAGGGTGGACGCGGCCTCGCCTTCCCCGCCGCGCCCGGGTCTCCGCTGCTTATTCACATGCAAATGATCGCCGCCAATTGTCGCCGAGCGCGGCGACCGCCGGAGCCGGATCCTTCCGCAGCCCGGGCTCAAACTTTTGGCCTCTGAAAACTTTTAGACGAGAAATAGTCCCTCGGCGCCCGCTCCCGACCCACGCCGCGCCGCCGGTGCCGCCACCCCGAGGGGCTCAGCTCTCGGGGGCGCAGAGCCGGACGGGGCACGTGGGTGGGAGGAGGCCGCGGGGGGCGCGCGGGAGGCCGGAGGGGGCGGGGCCGGGGCCGGGGGGCGGGGCCGGGCCGGGGCGGGGCCCGGTGCGGGGGCGGGGCCTGAGGCGGGGGCGGAGCGCACCTCGGTCCTGAGCCTCACTAGTGCCTCGGCCGCGGGAGGGAGCGCAGGGGCGCAGGGGCGCAGGGGCGCGGGGCGCAGGGCGCGGGCGCGAGCGCAGCGAAGGAACGAGGCGGGCGCGGAGCCCGGCCCGGGAGCCCGCGAGAGCACAGCGCCGCCTGCCAGCGTGAGAAAGAGGCCGGGAGCGGCCGCCGCAGCCCGCGGGACCGTCCGCCGCGCGTGTGCGCCCCCGCCCCGCCGGCCAGCGCAGGAGGCCGCCGTCCGGGCACAGTGGGCAGCCGGGGGGCAGGCATGCCGCCGCTCCTGGCACCCCTGCTCTGCCTCGCGCTGCTGCCCGCGCTCGCCGCACGAGGTAGGCACCCGCCCACCCGCGAGCCCCCACTTTCCTCGCGCTTCGGAAACTTCGGTGGCGCTCGGCGCGCGCCTCCCGTAGCTGGGAGCGGGCGGCGGGTAGGCCGGCGTGGGGAGGGAGGAGCGGGCGGCCCGGGCGTGGGGTCCTGGCGTCCTCGTCGTGGGGAGTACCGAGCCTTCCCTCGTCCCCGCGTTGGGGCGGACGCGCGCCGCCGGTGCCTGGAGCCGGGTGGGGAGGCCAGCGTGGGGTGCGGGGGCCCCGGAGTCCCTACCCTGGGCCGCCCTGCACCCGCCGCTCGTGGGGCTTGCCGCCGGGCGGCCGGGCGGGCGCGCTGCCTACTGCTTTTCGATTTGAATCGAGTCGGTTTTGGTTTCCTGTTGCCTCTCCGGGCCATTTATCTTCTTTCTTCCTCGCCTTTGGCCCACGCCGGGCGGATGTTGGGGCGCGGAATGTGGGCTCCGCGGCGCCGCGTTCGACTCTGCTGACCCCCGCGGTCCGCTCGTCCCCGGCTCGCGGCCGCTCCCCCCGCCGGGGCCCCCCAGCGCCCCTCAGCCGGGCCCTAGGTTTGGGGGAGGAGTTGCGCCCGGCGCCGCTGCGCCCGGTGGGACTTCACTTTCCTTCTGCTTTGCGTAGTTGAAGTTTGGAAATCTTGGGGGCGGAGAGCGGGACGTGGGTGGGGGGCGCTCACAACTCTCCCCGCCGCACGTCGAGGGGGGTCTCTGGGGAATCGAGTGATTAATCCGCTCTTTCTCGGAGAGTTGGAGGTGAAAATATTCCGTCCTCTTCCAGAAAGTGCGGCTCTGTCACACCCCTTCCCCGTTTCTCAGCCCCCGTGAGATGGGAGGGGGGCCTGGAGTTATTGACTCTTATCGAGATGGGGTCGGATTCCTTCCGAACGGGACATCTTCATCCCCCTCCCGTGGGCATAGGGGGCGGCCCCTGGAGGTGCGCGCCCGCGGGAGCAGGTATTGGGTGTCGGCGGAGGCGGGGCCGGGTCCTCGGGGTGCAGTCCCCATGCCCCTGGAGGCGGCCCCGACTCCACAATGGGCCGCTCTGATTCCGAGGCCGCGGCCGGCGCTTTGTTGGCGGGCGGGGCGGCGGGCGAGCAGCTGTCGCATTTTCCCACGGGCGGGCGGGAGCTGAGTGTGGCCACCCCCCGCCCCCCCGCCCCGTCCAGCTCTGCCCCTTGCAGAACGGGTTTAAACAGAGGCAATCTTGGCGGCTGGATGGGGGCCCCTGCCCTGCCGGACCCTCCGGGGTGGGGGGCAACGTTTAGGAGAGGACCCCGCCCTGTCTCCGCTTCTCCCCCGCTGCACCTCAGGCCGCCCCACCCCGCTTCAAGCAGGAGGTGTTCTCCGCTGCTCCCCTTCCCCCCAGATCTGACTTACAGAACTCTGGGCAGAATGTTGATGCCCCTTTGGTTTCATGGAGGGTCTTACTGCGGACCCCTGCCCCAGCAACCCATGACACTGAGCAGAGTGCTTCTGGGGTGGAGGGTGGGCGGCGCCCCTTGGCGGGGTGCAGGTGCCACCTCCAGGGTAACAAGGGCCTTCGGTCGGGGTGCGGGCGAGACTGACCTCTCTTCTGCCCTGCCTAGGCCTGCGATGCTCCCAGCCCGGTGAGACCTGCCTGAATGGCGGGAAGTGTGAATCGGCCAATGGCACGGAGGCCTGCGTGTGAGTACCACCCCTGCGGGACCTGTTGCTTTGTGGAGGGCAGAGCCCCTGCTTTCTGCAGCGGCGCAGGGGACAGAACACTAGGCCATTGTCTTCTGGAGATGGCCCAGAGTCTGGGCGCGGTCACGTGCTGACTTTTATTGGACAAAGTCTGGCAATTACTTAATCACCAGCAATTATGCTGCATGTGGAGCTGGTCTGGCTGCTGGGGGCTTGGGCACTCCTCCGTGGGCCACCTCAGGCTCCTGGGGCACTAAGTGGGAGTCCCAGTACCCCAATTCTTCAAGTCCCCCAGAAACAGTTGATCTGCTTGCGGGGGAGCTCTGGACCATTTACAGAGAGGCCCAGCCCCCACCACGCTGCCAACTTGGGGCACCTTCTCTGGCCAGGTGATGCCTCCTGGGCTGGTGGTGATGCCTGCTGTGGACAGGTGGTGATGCCTGGGTGGGTGATGCCTCCTCTGGAAACAGGTGATACCCTCTCTGGGTGGCTGATGCCTCCTCTGGGTGGGTCATGCCCACTCTGGGTGGCTGATGCCCTCTGACTGGGTGATGCCTCTTTGAAGGAAATTGACTCTCCAAAATCCGACCGACCTTTGGGCTCTCTGTTTGCTCCTGCTGTCTCCTCTCGGCCTCAGGCTGGGGCTGGGGAAGAGAAGGTGGAACTCATGTTTTGGCACAGGATGTGGGGAAATTCTTGAGTCTGGTTTCTGCCCTGGCGTCTGCAAACTCTGTCCTCTAAACTCTGTGGCCCTTCTGGTCTTCCAGCCTCAGATGTAAAGTGGGCAGGAGTGGCTGGGAAGTCCTGGGGAAGCGGCTGCCTCCAGCCTGCCTGTGAGTGCCAGTCCCTCCGGCCTGCCTGTGAGTGCCAGCCGGCTGCAGGGAGCTGTGCTGCCGTGGCCGACGCCCTTCAACTTGAGTCCATCCCTGATGAGAATAATGAGGAGGTATTTGCTCGCTGGAAAAAGAGTCCTCCCTGCCCCACCAGGAGCTGCAGATGAAGTGGCTCCCCAGTCAGTCTGCGCGCCCTCATTCCAACTGCAGAAGGGCCCATTCCCTTGACAACCCCAGCCCGGCTCCTGCCTGCGAGAACTGCCCAGCCTGTGGGCAGCGGCCCCTGCCCTCCCCGCACTGAAGCCAATTAAGCAGGCCTGTGAGCAGTTTAATGGACAAAGCCGATTGTGTCTTTGTCAGACACTAATGAATGCGCACTACTTTTTTTTTTGCTTTTTGGGGCCCCCTTCTCCCCCTGCAGAAGCCGCATGGACGCTTGATGCCCTAAATCTTGTTTCCTTTCATTCAGAGCCCGACAGCTGGGATCCAGGGAAGTGCAGCCGCTATTGTTGGGGGCGGCGGATTAATGCCGTGTGATTAATTATGCGTGGCTTCCCAGAATGTATAACCCCCTGCCCTGCCACAGTGCGCCGGGCTCGGACTCTGCCTCTCATCCATGCGGGGCCCTGGGAGAAGGTTCTTGCTCCCGCAGGGGACTTTGGGAGGGTGGGAGGAGTGCCCTGCTGCGGAAACTGGGGGCTTGTTGCTGCTTCTCAGCGGCGCCGGGGAGGAGGCACGGCCTGGCCCACTGGGGTCTGGGACTGAGGTCTCCCCCCCGCCAAAGGGCTGTGCTTTGAGGTACAGATTGCTGCAGTTCCCTAGGGTCTGGGCTGAGACCCTGCCACAGAGCCACAGACACCAGTGTCGTGGGCTCACTCTCCCACTCCCCAAACCTGGGATGCTGGTGAGCTGTTTCCAGCCCAAGCCAGGCCACTGACCAGGGCTTTGGTGCCTGGCCTTGTCCCCGCCGTGGGGGCCTGGCGCCCCCTCCTTCTTGGCGGGAAGCCTGCTTCATTTTGGCCTGACAGGCAGCCGGGCTCAGCCCACAGAGGCCCCATTGTGCACACCCCACTAGTCCAGTGAGAAGACGGGGCGGAAGCGCGTTTTCAGGCTCTTACCTCTGGGCTGCAGCGTTGGAGGCCACGGCCATGGCCACGGCCAGGCCCGGCGTGCGGAGGCTCAGGTCGGGGCCCACACTGCAAGTTGGGGGCATTGCAGCCGCTCCAGGGAAGGCCCTGGGCTCCCTCCCTGGGCTTGAGCCCCACCCAGCACAGTCCCCTCAGGCGCCCTGGCTTCCCGTTAATGCCCGTCCTTCTCAGAAGGCTCCAGGCAGGCGATCTGTCCTGGAGTTGGCCAGGGCACCTGCGGGAGGCTGGCTCTCCCAGCGAGAGGGGAGCCCCACGCTGTTTCTCGAAAGCGTCTGGGGTGCAGGCCCCTGGAGCCCCGCCAGTCTGCGTGCGAAGCCCCATGCCGTCCAGCTGTGACCCCGGAAATGGCTTTGGCTTTTGGTGCCAGTTGCTGCGTCCTCCGTGGAAGGGGCTTGGTGATGGTGGGGTCACGGCACCTGCCACATTAGTACTGAGTGAATCATTTCTTTCCACCCCAAAGAGAGGGACCCTCCATGGGAAGTTGCCAGTCAGGCGGTTACAGGGCTCGGGGTTGGAAAAAGTGTTTTTTTCTGTGCAAAATGCCTTCCCAGGAGGTCGGAGTGTCACTGTGGCCTGGACAGCTGGTGGCCAGGTAGAAAGCACCCAGCGGCACATGCTGGTTGGTGGAGGATGGCCGCTCTCTGGGCAGCTGCTGTGTGCAGTATGGCCATGGTGGCTGTGGTCAGAGATGGTGGCCTTTTGAGCAGGCCCAGGGGTCACTGTGGTTCTTGGCCCTTCCCAGGCCTCCTTGTCAGCTCCATTGGTGTGAGCAGGCGGTACTGAAGAGGGCTCCCCTGTTTTCCCTCTGTTTTGAGGATGGGTGGGAAGGGCTGCAGGGACCCTGTCCGTCTGGGTGAGCATGCACCGTGGTCTGAAAGGCTCTCCCATGGCTGCCTGGGGCTGGGCTGGGCGTCCAGGCAGAGGGTCGCTAAGATGTTGCCTGCTGATGGCAGAGTCAGAATTGCACAGGGCGTCTTCCAGGTGGGGAGAAACTGCAGGGGGAGGGGGAGGCGTCAGACCCAGCACTTCCCGGAGGATGGTGGGCTGTAGCTCTGGACAGCTTTGTGTCTGAGGCCTGGCCAGGTCCCCTGCTAGCTCCAGGACTTGGGTCATCAGGTCATGCAAGCCTCAGTTTCCCCAGGGTATCAGCCAGGCTGAAACACACTGAGTCTCTTGGTGGTGCCCGAGGATGGCATGAGGACCTCGTGGGAGGTCCCTGGTCAGCGCGCCTTCCCTCCCCGCCTTCCACCATCGGCTGATGGTGCTGGTCTCCAGAGCCTCTTCCCCAAGTGTTTCCGTGACTGATGAATGAATTTAGAGAGTCCTAAAGGTGCTGCCTGGTGGGTCGGGCCTGGCACTACCTGGAGAAGGACTGGCAGGCTCAGGGGAAGTCCAGCTCCCAGGATGGCTCCGGTTTGCTGCCTGGTGGGTCGGGCCTGGCACTACCTGGAGAAGGACTGGCAGGCTCGGGGGAAGTCCAGCTCCCAGGATGGCTCCGGTTTGCAGACACGTTTGAGCGCCTGCTGTGTGCTGCCTTCTGCTCCAGGCAAGGCCCCAGCTCCCGTGGGGTTCACTTCTCAGCAAGGGGTGAGAGAGGCACCTGGCTCACGTATGGGACATGTTGGAGGTGGGCTGGCCCCCAGAGGCCGGGTGTAGCTCCTGGCAGCCCCGTAAAGCTGTCTGGACCAGGCACAGGGAAGTAAGAGGAGGAGATTCAGAGCAGTCGCCGTGGGCCCCAGGGTCACGCAGCGGTGACAGAGCCCTGCCCCTCTCCTTCTCCTAAGCGAATGTCCCCAGCCGTGGCCCGTCACTTCCCGACTACTAGTGGGACTGGGGGGCGTGGCTTCCCTTTAATAGAGGAGGAAGGAGGCTGGGGCGGGAAGTGACTGGGCCCTGGGAGGCTGGGGAGGGGCGGGCTGTCTTCTGTCACCCGGTCTGGCTGTTTCCATTGACTCACTTGCCTTGTCTTGGGCGTGGCCAGGAGAGGAACAGGTTAATCCCCCTCCTCACGCTCAGGAGGCATCTGCTTATGCAGCTCCTGGTCTTCAAGGGCACCAGGGTTAGAAACACATGTTTAAAACATGCAGCGGGCCGGGCGCGGTGGCTCACGCCTGTAATCCCAGCACTTTGGGAGGCCGAGGCGGGTGGATCACGAGGTCAAGAGATCGAGACCATCCTGGTCAACATGGTGAAACCCCGTTTCTACTAAAAATACAAAACATTAGCTGGGCATGGTGGTGCGTGCCTGTAATCCCAGCGACTCAGAAGGCTGGGGCAGGAGAATTGCCTGAACCCAGGAGGCGGAGGTTGCGGTGAGCCGAGATGGCGCCATTGCACTCCAGCATGGGTAACATGAGTGAAACTCTGTCTCAAAAAAAAAAAAAAAAAACATGCAAACATGCAGCGTCCCAGGTGGGCAGATCACTTGAGGTCAGGAGTTCAAGACCAGCCTGGCCAACATGGCAAAACCCCGTCTCTACTAAAAGACACAAATACGCCAAGCGCAGTGGCCCATGCCTGTAATCCCAGCCACTTAGGAGGCTGAGGCAGTAGGCTCGTTTGCACCAAGGAGACGGAGGCTGCAGCGAGTCAAGATCACGCCACTGCACTCCAGCCTGGGCGACAGAACGAGACTCTGTCTCAAAAAAACAAAAATCAGAAAATAAAACCACATTGTCAAATAGAAAGTGTCACCTCCTGAGACTGGGGAGACGTCAGGAGCAGGAAGGCCCGGGGCGGAGACCTGGGTGGGAGCCTGGAGTGAGTGCTCTGGAGGAAGCGGCCTCCTTGGGGCAGGGCCTGCCCCTGAACAGCAGCCAGCACGTTTTCCATTGAAGAAAACAATCGTAGAAAAGAGAGAGAGAGACAGAAAGCAGCCTCCCTGGCAGGAAGAGGGCAGGGCAGGGCAGACAGTGGACACCGGGAAGGGCTTCCACAAGGCAGAGGCGGCTGCGGGGACCCCCAGACACGGGCAGACTGGAGACCCCACGGGAGCCGGGACTGGCCTCATTCCCCGTTC